GATTTACGGCGCAAAGGCTGAAATCGAATCCTCCCGTCCGAGGTATCGAGTTATTTCCCGTTGCGCGAAAACACCTGCGCGCTCGGTGAAAACTGCCATCCCTCTCGTTCCCGTCAATAAAACATACGTTTCGCGTACCGTTGCGGCTTGAAAACAGACGAAAAAGGGAATTCTATTAAAGCCCGTGCCTAGATTTACACCGTGATACTCTCGTCCCGCCAGGCGGAACGCGCCTACATTTTTATTTTTATTTTCTCGCGTAAAATGCACGCCCTCGTTGCGTGCACAGATATTCGATAAAAAAATAAGCATCGATTACAGAAAAAAGCATGCACCAGAAAACATGTGTCGCAGATGCCTGAACGGGCCAGAAACGCTACAACACAGCGTATAACTGTGTAGGAGTAATGGGGAAGAACACACACTAAGCTCGCATGTTCTTAGTATTATTTCTTACATACATTTTTCTGTTTCTCGTTATCGTTTAAAAATAACTTCTTTACATGCAACAGCAACAGCAGCACAGTGAAGTGAGAAAAAGTTCTGAACAGAACTAAACTTATGATTGCCCGTTGCAGGATTTCGCATTAATGTAGACAGCATTAACATTTATTGAGCAAGAAGATCACTTCCACGAATTATTGCATCAATATTTACAGACAACTGTGCACATTTGTGCAAATTTCTCTTGGAAGAAATGTCGCAAGTTAAATACTTGTTAGTGCAGACGCACCTTTATTTCGCGCGACTCGCACCGAATTCATTCGCGTGAGCAGCTGACGGGGCGTTCGATTTACCGTAGACTCGGTTACGCGCCGCTACCATTCCGATTCAAAAACGATGAAATCATGTACGCGACGGCGAGGAAATAAGCAGGTTTTTCCTTTGGAAACAGCGCCAGTTGCTCGTGAATCCGTGAAAATTGCATCCCCAATCGTCGGTAGAGGCAACAAATAACGGGCAATTATCGTATTTTCGAGTGCCGCAAATACGGGAGCATTAAGCTGCGCCCGTAACGCCGATAATAACCGTACCGCTGTTTCGCGTTATTAGCATTTCGCAAAAATAAAACTCGTTAAATCGGAATTTTAATACTGAGCCGGGGAAAAACTCGGCAAATATTCCTGCAGGGAAGATAGATACTCAATAACGTTCCATTAGCAATGATCGGATTTCATCGAATCCTCGTTAACCGAATGGATCTCGAACGAGAAGAATATTAAGAAGAGCATACATCGTCGCTTCATCGATATCGCTATTCTCCTTTCTCGCGCGACGAGTACTTACTACGTACCATAGAGTACCAATTTATTTCCGTTTTAGGTGGCTGTACGATTTTCAACCGTCTCGGAGCTGCTCATTTCCGTCTCGCGAATTTCATCTAACGTGTTTTAAGAGTCAAACATATCAATTTTGGAATTTGCAATTCTTTGGCAATTTTCATTGTGCTGCGAGAGACGTTTGAAAATCGTCAGTCGGCGGTAAAGGGAATCGAAACAAAGAGGGTGAATAAGAAAAGAGAGCAAAGGACAGGGAAACGGAAGCGAACGAAAGGAACGACGTTCGAACGAATCCTACGTAATTTCCTGGCAGAAACGCGTTCGAGCAACGGCTTTGTTCGCTCGTCGATTCGTTTCTACTTAATTAGAGCGACGATTCTCGATCGAGAGTATTTGAAACGCGTCGAGATTAAAATTACCGTTCGAAATTCTCCTGTCGCCGTCGCCGTCGCCGTCGCTACCTCCGTCTTCGGTAATAATCGTTTCTGCCAACACAGACGAAAGGAAAAGAACGAATTTCGCAGAGGAACGAGCTAGAGAAATCGAGTCGAGCGAAGGAAGCCGAACGGGAGAGCAAGAGGAAACGTAGGTACATCCATCTTATCCGTCGATTCGCCGCTAAACGAATTCGCGAGTAAATCGATTAATCTTGCCTCGACGAACATAAGTAGACACCTTCCGTTCCGTTCGATTTTTCTCCTCGTCCATGCGTCCGTCGTGATTCAAGAATCGAGCGCGTCGACTCGAATAAAGCAGGAATGTCCAACAAGTCGACCGCCAAGCGATTTTTCGTCCAAGAGTAGAGACATAACGTTATAACTGCAGGCCGCAGTTTTTGCCCTGACAATCAGCTCTTTTGTGAGGGAGGGAGGGAGAGAGAGAGAGAGAGAGTAGAAATAGACCGTTTCACTTTTAGCACGGACTGTCAAATTCTCAGTTGGCCGATCGATGATCAACGCAGCCTGCACTCGTGTGTAATTTTATATTATTTATATTTTTTGTAGTACATATACTGTTGATTTATGTCAGGATTTTAGCAAATAGATCGAAAGACATTTTCGAGAAAAATAGTAGATCTGTACATATATAATGAAGTTGAGTATAGCTGAAATAAACGAGGCTTAAAATGTTTCGTAATGACTATTGTGTGCGAGCCGCGTGAATATACGTAAGGGGAGAAAAAGTGGCGGGTAACGGTACCCCGTAAACTTTCGGGTGGCAAACGAAATTAGTCCCGCGGGCCGTTAGTAGCGGAGCCCTAATTAAACTCGATTTACGTAATCACAGTTGCCGAGAACTTCTATCGAGAATTCCCGCTCCTCGAAACTCGGTCCCAACCGTAATTTCTCGCGAGTTATATCGGAAATAAACGTTATCGATAAAAACAACACCGCGTAATCGTCCGTCAGAGACGAGGGTAGAGTAAAAACGGAAGAAAGTGTACGCCGAACGGCTTGGCTATCGATCGGGCACCGAGAGTTCACGCGCGCCGTTCCGTTTCGACCCTCCCAGACGACCGATTTGATGATACGCCCGTAAACGCATTAGCACCGTTTAACAACGCGTTCCACTGGCTTTGACCGCGCTCTCGGCAAAGGTTGCGGTACAAACGTTGGATAGGTAATTAGATTGCCCAGGTGCCACCATCAAAGAGAGTTCCGAGCGCATATAGCTATACATAGAGCCCTGAATGGAGACACGGTTCCTCCACGTGAATCCTTTTACCTATTCCGTCGCGATACCTCTTCTCCCTTTCCTTATTGCTAATTTATCAATTAACGGGCGGAAGTACCAAATCCTCTGTCGACCTAGTAAAATTTAGAATCTCTACAACTGTAGAAGTCTTCCTTGCACTTGCGTAATCCAACAATAGTGAACGTGTCACATTTTCTATATATACGTGCGAAGTGGATCCGGAATCAAATGAGTATATATTCCGTACGTTGCACGTATGTATCGTGAAACTTAAGAAGCATATTTTAACGGGTATAATCCTTTCGACCGAAGGCTCGAGGAATCGTGAAACGCAGTGCGCGGGCGTTGGCCGAGAACCGTGGGTCCAAAGTACGATCCGCGGCCGCATTGCGTAGGTGTCGGCAAACAAACGCCTTCTCTCTCGCTCTGTCCCCGACTCGGAACGGTCTTTGTTTCCCTTTCTTTTTTTACCGCCGGTAAGAGTGGACTTCGCCCCGGAAACAAGGCGGACTGGTTTCACAGCAATCGTTGCCGGTCCGCAACGTTTGGACTCTGGCACGGAAAGCGCACGCGACCTGGCGCCCGTGTGATTTGCAATTAAAAATATCACCGTTAGAGAATAGCGATGACACGTTTCGAGATAAATAGAGTGCGCGATAGTAGTGGGATATGTGCAACATGCGTGCAATGAAAAAGAAGACGACGCTCGGTAACGAATGTGCGTTCACATAATTATGTCTCATCACGGAGATGAGTCGAGGGCCTATGACAAATAGCGGAGATAACAAATTAGATCCGCGAAATAATCACTTCATAAGGGTGAACCGTTTCGAAAGTGGATTATATTTTTGTACGCCAGCGGTAAATCTATTTGGAGCACGAAGATAGCCGTTGCACGCGAACGTGAGAGAAGAAACACGTGCTCCCGCGTTTCACGACACGCTCCGACCGCGTGTCTCGTTGGGTGACGCGAACGATCCCACCAGCCTCGACCGTGAATTCGAATTGAGGTAGTTGTTGCACAAATCAAAAATGTTGCAAATCGCTTGAAATTCTGTAGAACATTAATATGGATAGCAAAGTCTATGTGCGCAAAACGCTGGATCATCTTTTTGGAGATATCGTCAGTGAAAATGCGCAAATTTTATAATACTTTATCATTGGAATAATGGCGTTGGCACGAGAAAAATAATTTTCTTCCGTTATGGCAATTGATCGAGTAATGATAAATACTTGAAAAATGTAACGATCACGAGTGTATGTATATACAATGAAACGCATAGATTTTCTTGTGATTATTGACCACCTGATTCCTAATACTATTCTACAGATTATCATTTTCTACACCGACTATGAGAAGTATAAGAAAGTATTTATTTGTTCATTTTATAGCATAATATAATGACGAAAATTCATCTTTCTTAATATACGGATTTTTAATACAGTAGAATGAGTAGCAGCCATCTTGTAATTGTAAATTAACTTGAAGCCTTATCTTAATTAGTACAATAGAGTAACTGGCTCGTATAATGAACTGCACGTGAGGTTCGCGACTTTCTTTCACAAAACCAGACCTTAAGGGCTCTCTTATCCGAGCCCGCGTTGCCCTCGAGCTTATCCATATTGAAACGTTTAAATTTTCACCGCGATGCAAAAATCGGGAAGCGTTAACGTTCGATTAGTTGTTATCGGTCGATGAACGTCGGGCTGCGCGGTCCGCTCCGACCTCGAAACGCGTCGCCTCCGATGAGCCCGATATCGCATCCGATCATCTATATTATCGTTACGCTATATTAGCGCGATTGTAACGCGCCTTGGTGCTGCATCGATTTCCTATACGCCCATCGAAATTGACCGTTGCATTTTCCGGAAATTCTCGCAGAGACCCGCGTACGGTTCACAACAGAGCAACGGACAATATTTATTACTCGCGCAGGCTTCATTACTTCCTGGTTGCGAATTATTACGAGACAAAAAAAAGTTTTTATCAGAAATAAACTGACACAGCTGGCGTCCGGCCGGTCGTCCAAGTGTTAATGTAAAATTTATTTTCCACATAATATCACTATTCATTTACTGTTAATCTGTACATGTATACGACATACAGTGACTCATATTAACATTCGGACACACTTTAAAACAGAATAACTTTTTTCATATCGAACCAAAAGACTTAATTTTTTGTGAGATTCTAGAAGGTTTAATTTACTACGCAATGAAAAAAAGAATTTGTTCAGAATTCTTATTGTTCGGAATCGCGAGGGAAAAAAGTGAACATTGCGTTTTTTAACTTTTTAATTGGGGTCCCGTCAACGGGTAGTGTTCACTGCTTGGAATGGAAACGTGCAAGACGTACAAGGGGTTAACGGACGAATATGTACGGGTATAGTTCATCGAAGCGACTCCGGGGAACTGTAGGAGCATGTCATCGACGTTGCTTCCGACGATGTCCGGTCGTTCCTATGGGAAATCTCGGAAACGATACGAGCTTTCGTTGCTCCGATCAAAATTGATCAACTTTGTTCCTCCGTCCCGGCTTACTGCGTATACGAAAACTCCTTGGCCCTCTGTGCAAAAATAAACGACCCATATATTTGTTCGTCCGTGAACGTTCAGAAAATTACGTCTCGAGCGGCGCGAAAAAATGAACGCGCGAAGCCGTAGATAAATTGAGGATTTTAATTAAATCGGCGATAAAGCATAGGTACGAATTTCGCACGAGCATAAAGTATGTACACAAGTACACATACGTCCGAGAATAACGACGTACACAATAGTATGTACACGTGAGAATGAGTCGATAAAAGTTTACCTCTAATTCTACATTGTGCGATATTTATACGATAATTAAAATTATTGATTCTTTACTGTTGCAACGTCGAAATTCTGGTAGAGGACGGGGTTGTTGTCGCGGATATTTTCGAGAGCCGATTTAAAAATGAAATCGTGCTCGCCACGCGGTAAACAACTGCATAAATATTCGCGATCTAATTCGCGATACAATAGGATCGCGTTTCTGCGAACAGCAACCGGTTGACCGCCGGATTCAGATACATACGTAAACTATTTATACGATTCCACGACGAGTACTCGCGAGAAACTTTGCTGATTTCATTTATCTGCGATAAAACCATTAATGATAAAAAGTTTACGGCTTGCGAGTCTCCGACGGATATTTATCAACGACCCGACGCGATACGATGTTTTGAAGAATTTATTGTTTCCGACGCATTTCCAATTTATAGCGAATTCTTCAATACCATTCACTAACCTCTGCTACCTTTGAATTATTTACGCGTATTTTTTACCTTTGCATTGCATAGTATAGTCGTCGTTGTCGCATATTCCTGGCGTTTCTACATGTACTCAATTGCGAACTATAGCAAGAAAAGAATATCTTTAAAAACATACATTTATTCAATAAGCATTTTCGGACCTACGACACGACAGATATTGACCTTTTGCCTTATCGCGCCACTATTTGAATCTACTCGCTTAAGGGGATAGATGTGGAGTAGATAAGAGGGCCCGAAGCGGCGCGATAAGCCAGAATATCAATGTTACCCAGAAAATTAGCCAAAAATATGGGTTTACACTTTTCATGCTCGTATAAGAAGATTTTTGGGTCGTCGGCTGACTCTTTGGAAAGATAAAAGTTAATTCTGGTGTGCTCTGGTCATAGTTTAATCAGAATATACTGATATTTAGTGATACGAGGGTAATAGAGTGAATGAAGAATCGTACTTATAGTGCCTTTGTTTATCAGCAATTTTACATCCGAAAGAGATTGTATTGAATGAAATCAAGACCAGAACAAATTTAGCTTTTCTTAAACGTAAAAATTTTACCGAAAAATGTTAGAAAAGTGACTTGATGAATTTCGGCTAGTGCAATGTTCGTAAACCTGTTTGATCGCACGCGTTCTTTCGTGTCGTTGTCATGTGTCGGAATATACCTACGTACTCGCAATGTACGATTCCTACCGCGCGACAACTAGGGTCCGTCGTAAACTACGTTTAAACAGGATGTGCAGCCATTATAGCCAATTTAAATGAGTCGCGGTTATAAAGATCCACTCGGGGAAACGTCTTCCTCCCCACGTCGCATACCTATTTTATAAACAGTGACCGGATGATAATCGATCGAATTCTCCGTTGTTCCGTATTGACCGGTAGAGAACGGACAAAGTGTTGCTCGAACATTCGTCTTAAATTAGAAAATGTATTTTTCTGATTCACGTCTCGTCCTTTCGCTTATCATGACACTAGGCTTTCCTGTAATTTTAACTATTGATAAATAATATTGAAACAAACATAATAGTAAATTGTGTGTATGAATAAAATATATATCATTTAATTGTGTCTAGTAGAATTGTTGTAAATATTTGTTCTCTGATCTACCACAAAGTGTCGACCAATTATGTCTAAAGACTATTCATGTGTTTAGTCAGAAACCTGTTATATTATATTTCCAACGACAACATATTTTCCAAGTGTCTACATCAATGTAAACTAATATCGTCTACTGCTTTATAATGCAAATTACTGTTTAACTAGGAAGCAAACATTTTCAGCATAATTCCTTTCGTTGACACGAGCTTACTTGCATATCAATTTTTACCATTCCAGTGAAGAGAAGTGAAGAATAAAAACAAGTCTGCGACAGTCACCAGACACGTCTATAGACACTTGTTTTTCAGTCTGAACGAAGCTTATCAATTGTTCAAGACGGCACCAGGCGGTATTGGCCAAGTATTTTTCTACGATCTCGAATTCGGTCGATCGTGGAATACGTGGGATGCACGTAGGTATATTTTGGCCGCGTACAGACGATTCGGCACCGAAACAGCCGTGTTCCATTGTACTTCGCGTCGAAACGAGAAACTAATCTCTGCTACCGATTCCCCGGCGCCTGGAACGTCGCCAGCACGGAAAGTAGTATAAGTCAACCCCCGTTCACGCGTAAACCCACGAAAGACGATGCGCTATCGAACTAACAACGATCGTCTTACTTCCAATAGCGTTACGACAAACTAGTTGACCTGATATTAATTGAATCACGAAACTCTGTGAATACCGTGATTAACGGCGACGTAGCGGTCGGAGAACGATGAAAATTAGTTAAAACCAAATGCTTATCGCAGTATTTCGTACTAATTGTCATAAAAAATAAAGTAGAACATCATTTCTCGTTTTATTAACCAGCATAGGCTGGTTTGGAGTTATCAAAAATGTATTTCTATAAAAGTTTTCTGTCATAAAGAAACACATTACTCGGCAGAAGTAATTTTTTAATTAATAAAAAAATGAGATAGGTTTTGAAGTCATGTTAACTCTTTTTTAACAGAGTTTTACATTTTTAATCCGAAATACGATCGCATTTATCAATTCAAATTCAACGACCTACTGTGAGAGTTTCAGGTATCATTCTATGTGTTAGAAATTAATTAAATACAAATATCTAAAGGAGAAACGGAATAATCCTGCAGTACCGCGTAAAATACAGCTCCCATGCAAGCTATAACCGACTTTCACGAAAGCACAAAAAAGCAATTCTGCTCGTTAAAATTAATTTGTGATATAAATAGACAATTACGATGGGCATTGCAGAATTTCCACCCTATCTCATTTAAAGCTTTGGAGATCTCTCGACGAACGTAATTATATTTTCAATTAGGAATATAGGAAAATTTCATTTTCCCATAAGACTAGCGTAAAATTTGCAAATTTTTAAAACGTTCTATCTCGATTATAAAGCAATGAAGAGCCTTGAAATTTTTACACAAACCTTTTTATATGCAAACGAAACGCCCGTGTAAAATTTTAGCTAAATCATTATCGTTAATTCAATTATTAAGTAAACTCGCTTAATGTAATATCTAACAATATGTTGACGTCTTAAAACTTCAATATTGTCATCGTTTTTATTCAAGCGTTCATACCTGTACGATCATACTTTAACCAATTCACTGCTTAAACCATTCTGTCCATTTTTACTGGTTTTCCGACCATTGTGCGACATACGGTGACCGATAACTGGTCGCGACATTTATTCTTCCGTTTCGTTAGGAGAAATAGAATTATTATTGATATCTCTCTCTCTCTCTCTCTCTCTCTCTGTCCGAATGAAATCTCTAATTTCCAACGTTTCAACGTACACAGCTTGTACGTAGCTACGAGAAGCACCCCTCGGCTCTAGGTGACGAGGATCTTTTCATTTCCGGCTGTCGCGTCTCTTCCAATTTAACGTATTTCACCCAATTTCCGTGTCGGTCGTCGAGAATCCAATCACCGCTAACGTCTCCTCGTCTAACTCGTAACCCAGATATCTTACTCCGTTTTTCTCTTTCGACTCGCGGCGCATTTTTCGCCGAGGTCGCGACGAAAAATGCATGCGCCGAGGAAACGAGCGCATCTAAATTTCAAGACAGTCCAGAGACGAGGTCCGAGAGGGAAACGAGCGGGCAGGCCTGATCGAAAGCGAATCGAAGAGGGAATGATGGAAAGGCGATGGGGACAGAAGGGGAAAGCGCGGGTCCAGCAATTTCCCGATGTAATAACAGGCCCTTGTTCGCACAAAACGGGCACGATAAAGCCTCGGGATATTGCCTTATTCAACGGTCGTTGAACGCGGCGGAGTGGCTGCAAAGAGGCTTTGTCGCGTTCCCTCCTTTTCCCTCGGTTGCACGGAAAAGGACGGGTCGTAGGTCTACTCGACCCTCCCGAACGAAGAGATTCGGATAGGTGCCCGACGAAAACCACGAGATAGAAAATAGTGAAAACGAAGTCGACCGATGAAACCAGTCTATAAAATTCGTTTCGTTATGCGCGCGGATCGCGTCTTTATCTCCTCTTTCTCATGCTCGGTGATCAACTTCCTACCGTCACCGAGCAAAAATCGGAGGCACGGGAGTATATTCGTTACGAAAAACCGGAAATAAAAAATTATTTTCACTTGCAATTAACAAATTTGTTACTCAGAAAAGTAGTGAATACATTAGGATCTCATATTTTAAATGTCGAGCTACTTGGTCATTCTAAGATTCTATCTTATTCGCTATTTGTTTGAATGTGCATGTGAAGTGCGGGTCGGTAATCTTTTTGGGTAACTTCGCAATCCTGATCACCGTTTGCTCGATTTATCCGTTTGTCGAAAGACACGGATACGCGAGACAAAGAGTGAAAGCACATTCGCGAGACAAAGAGTGAAAGCGTATTCGCGAGAAAGAACAAGGATAATAATAGATGGAACGATAAATAGAAAAGACGGACGGAGACTACGTTTCGACGAGGATCCTTTCGCGCCTCCGGGGAGATAACGAATGGAAGAAAGAATAACGACGAGGCGGTCCAGATCCGGATGATAAAAGAGACCGATCCCCACAGGCCCGTGTCGCTATAAAACGATCGATGAAATACTTCTGGGGTATGGACGGATACATTCGCTACTAAAACTTTGAAAACCCGCAAAGGAAACATTCAGGTGGGCAGCCGGTGATGAACGACCTCGTAGCCCCCATGGTTCCACCCGCCGCTCCACTGCGTCCGACGTTCCTACCTCTGTGAACGACCACTTTCCTATCTCACCTGCGAGAGACGGTAACGTGGAGAAGGTCGTTCGACGCTGCGATCGTGTCTTGTAAGTAATTTTCATCGGATGGATGGAATTTCTCCAAGATCGACGAAAGGAAAAACCGATCACGAGATTCGATTCGGTAAAGAAGGAAAGGGAGGGTTTCCTCTGCGGAACGTAATTAAGCGGCGTAACGAGATTCTCGCGACCATGCTAGATCGGCGCGAAATTCAGAAAAGTTTCGAAGTTAAATGGACATTCCCGTGATACAGGCTGGGTCCCAGGTTGGACGATGCAACCGTAGAGTAATTGAGAAAATAAACCGAAAATATGAAATACTTATTTCTCATTTTACACTTTGTCTTCGAGAAAATCCAAAGTTGATTTTCTCTAAGTATGCACTCGACTATGTCGTCGATTAAGGATGTATTGGCTATAC